AGACTTGCATGCATTTATATTATCTCGAGATTTGCATTACCTAGGTCATATTTTGAACTCATAAATGATTTATATTATTGTCAAACATATATTGATTATCTTATTAGTTGCATTCAGCTCAAAATGTATGTCATGAAAGTTTTTTGAATGACATTTTTTCATATTTTTTAATTTGTGTTGATGTAAATAATAAAGACATTCAATAGTGTAGAGAAAAAAGTCATTAGCCCTTAAACAATTATCGATTTTGCAATTTAGCTCATTAGCAGAATTATATTACAAACACACAAAAATGATAGACTTATAACTTTTTATGAAAGGGATGCTGCAATGGACTTCAATTGAGATGGGACCTATTCGGACTAGACCCTCTGTTTCAAGTCTAATGAGTTAATGTGCCTTCATTTTTTTCAATCAAAACGTGTCATGTAAACTACATGTGGTAGAGTTACATTCATACTTCCGATTATCTCTAAATATTCATATGATGAGTTCGTCAAATGTTATCGACCCATATTAAGTACCCATTGACGTGATTGGCCTTTAATTGAGGCAGACAGATGAATTTTGTCTATGTTTACTCTGACCATTGAAGATTTGACTTCGAGTGGGTTTCGAGTCTATTGCTCATAATAAGAATCATATTACGAAGTAAACGCTAAAAACATAACGTTTAACGTAAAAGAGTAATATAAAAGTATGATATTTGAGACTTGCGTATATAACAGATCAGTTGGTCCAACTTTTATCGACCCGCATTAAATACGCGTTGATGTGATTGACTTTTGATTGAGGCAAATAAAATAATTTTTGCTACCTTTGTTGTCACCACTCAAGATTTGACTTCGAATATGTTTTGAGTGTATAGATCATAATATGTGTCCTTTTACAAATAAACACTAAAAACGTAATGTATAACTGTATAACGTAAAAGAGTAATGTAGAAGTATGATATTTCAGACATACGTTCATTTGGATTATCTCGGGATTTACATTATCTGGGTCATATATTGATCTCATGAATGATTTCTATTATTGTTAAACACATATTGATTATATTATGAGTTGCATTAACCTCAAATTGTATCTCATAAAAATATTTTCGAAGACATTGTTTTATACTCTCGTATGTTTTAATGGTTATTGATGTAAAATATAATGGCATTCAATAGTATGTAGAAATGGGTCAAATTAACCCTTAAACAATTAGCAATTTTACAATTTTGTTTCTAAACAGAATGGTCTTTCATATACTGAGGTCCAACCCATAGGATGTGTAGGCATGCAATGGCATAGGGCCCGGTAAAAGCGAAGGCCCAAAAGAGTTAAAATAATATGAGTAGTATAACTAGAATTTATTAGGAAAATGTCCACGCGGATTAATAACTGAACAACAATACAAACATTATACTCCTTAGACTGTTTTATTCGTTAATATTTGTAATATGCCTAAATTATTAGAAATTTATAATTAATATAATTTCATTTATATTATATTTTTACTTAGGGGTGGAAGTAGAAGTGGGCTAATCCGGCCCCAACCCACTCAAAATTTGAAAATTATTTGTACTTTTAACGTAAAAAATTTTGTGTAATTATTTATATAAAAAAATCTTTGTACCAGTTCACCGTACCCCTTTTCTAGTAGAGAATTAGAAAGTCCAAAAATCTACTTGAAAGCTCTCTTGGCTATGCCCCTATTTCAACTTGTGTTAAAAGGTCTAAATTTTTATTGCACAAGGCTTCCATTTTCTCGGGATCGGCCAAACAAATACTTATTACCAATCATTATTGTAGACCTAAACCTAAAGCCATCAACAACAATAGACCAGCAAAAACAAACTTAACGCAAAAGTAAGACCACAAAAAATAAAATAATTGACCAGTACTTCAAACTCCTTCCTGCCAGTATTCTTGAAGTATCATCTTCCAAACACTAGCACCTCGGTCGCTCCAAGGGGAGGTTCAGGAGGGGGGTGGACTGCCGATGTGTCTTCTCCCTTGCTCAAAAATCGGTGCAGAAATTGCCAGGTGATTTTCCAATTGAATGTACCAATCACTAACCTCTAGATTCGATTCATAACAGCACGTACATCTAGAAACATCAACCATAGAGAAACAGAACATGGAGAGGCAGAGCGTTGTAATAGTGCCCTCCCATTGTCGCTCCAAATCATTCGCTAGACAAGAAATGGCACAAGCCACATGCTGGAAAGACAACCCCTAGACGAAAGTTAGGGAGAAGACCACTTCTACGTTACTCTGAGCGTTGGAGTAGAAACTGTAGATTTTAAATTCATTTGGGCTCATTTTTATATATTGGAAAAATTATATTATTTAAATATTTTCAATCAATGTGACAAGCAGTAAGAAGTTTGACCATATATTGACGAAGGAGTAACCAAATGGACTCATTTTTCTTAAATGCTAACATAAAGGATACATTTTTCATGAAAAACACATATTTCAAATCCTAACAGATGCTTCACTTATGTATCAATATTTGTAACGTAAATCTATTGAGATAAATCTAGTGCTTTCAAGATGAGTTTTAGATTTGACAAACCACTCATTTTCCTTTACTAAGTTCAGACTTATCACCATTGTGAAGAGATTAAATTCTCTCAATCCTTCACATGTTCTAATAACCTCCTATATTTAAGTATGTGCCACCTTCTTTCATCCTTATGTTCATATATTTTCCCTTTACATTTCCCACGACTTTGGAACATTATATTAGAGAGGCATTAAAAAGTTTTTGATTTGAGGAAAGATAAGATAGAGAGGCCTTGAAACTTCCAACGTGCTTGAAAAGCTAATCGAGATGAGCAAGATAAGTCGACATAGTTATTCGGAGTAAGTCGAACAGGTATATATAATGAAATCACTGGGACAATATTGGAGTCCTAAGAAAAAAGGTGGTGTATGATCTAAACACCCATCTTGAATATTCTTGAATAGAAGAAGGGAGTGAGAGAGATGTCCCTGGTCGATTACTGTGGACAAATTTTGATTTTTTTGTGTTTTCTAAACAAGAGGAGGGTTTGGTTATTCTATGTAAGCTAGCCGGATTCTGCTGGATTAATTGCTATTTGGGATTCCATGTTTTCTTACAGATGAATGCAATTTCATTTGTAGATGGTTCTTCTTTATTTATGTTATACTCATATATATGAACATATATAAATTAACATTGAGCATATTACATATTTTGGATTTTTTATGCTCATTTCGTAAATTATGTATAATCATTTGATATTCATGTAATACTCATTTTAAAATATCACATTCATGCATATTGGTGTAATGCTCATTTTAAATTTTTTGATGCTCATTTCATACGTTATGTCGTGTGCTCATTTAACATTTAAGCACACTATAGATTTTAAATGCATTTTTTGAATTTTTCGATGCTCATTTAGTAAGTTATGTATGCTCATTTGATGTTGGTGTATTGTTCATTTTAAAATATCATATTCATGCATATTTCAAAAGTATAATATACACTAGGTTCGGATATTGGATTCACACAGGTTCATTATAGACATTTTAAAAAGTAAGAAAAAGAAAATTAATTACAAAATATGAAGCAGAGATCACGATGTTCAGTACTTGACTTCTACTACTCAACAAAATAAGTTTGATGCTCACTAAAAGTGCATTAATGCTCATTTAAAGAGAAGCGCAATTTTCATTAAATTTACAAAAATGTCACGGTTGTATGATGCTCATCATACAGTTGGTTGTACTGTATACGGACTCTCCAAAACCTCTCTTGCATTTGGTTACCGTAGAGCCTCATCGGCAACCGCAAAATTGATATTAGGATACGCCAAATGAAACTTACAATTCCATGTTGAAGTACGAGTACCAAAGAAAATACGCTGATTTTCAATCCCCCCCAAGTATATATTACCTCCGCCCGGTGGACTTTACCAAGTTCGAAATAGGTGGGAAATAAGTAAAACAAAAGTTGTGTGATTGATGTTTATGCAGAGGAAAAGGAAATGTGCAGAACCATAGATTAGTTACTTTATTAGGAAAAGTGACAAAGTTTTTTTGGGACAACTAAAAAGGAAAAGTTGGCTTAATCAAATGGAGACGGAGGGATTATGAAAGATGAACGCTTGATGGAGAGTTGATAAATTACAACACAGTTCTAAGATATTAATATACAATAAAAACACATCTATTACACAAAAGTGACTAAACAATGCAGATCCATCAAACAAAATTATTTGTGAGAATGAAGTTAAAGTTTGAGTTTTAATAAGTATTCTGCTGTATAAGAATAACAGGCTCAACAAGACTCTCCAGGATGAGACCAGGATTCTACTATAGAAAATTAGTGGCTCGTGAAGGAAGAAAATTATACGGAGTATTTTTTAAGAAAATTCTTAACCTTGTTTGTTTTTTCTGTGTTTCTAAAAAAATCTTGTTTGGTTGAGAAAGAAAAGATTTTTATAAGAAATTAGTTTTATGACATTGACCATTGTAAATTGAGATGAGAGTCGAATTGGATATTATGGTTACATATGTATCTCATATTAGACACTAAAATTTCAAATGAGTCAAATTTAATGTTTTCTCATCATTTCTGGACACTCACCAAAGATTTGTTAATTTGAAAGCTATAAGTATATTCCTTTTTTTCCTTTGTTTTGTGTACCTAAAAAAAAAATCGTATGATGAGCTGGGATTTAGAATATATAATTAGATGTTCCATATAAGAACATCTATTACGAGTACTATGTATAATGTAAATGAATTCTTTAATTTTGTTAAATCAATTTAACATATTAATATTTTCCAAAGTTTCATTAAAAAAACATATGAATGAAAAGTCATAAATATACTTTTAACTTGTTTTTTTATCGAAGGGTGCTTATATCATTAAATTAGCATTCAGCACTGATAAAAGAACGTAAAAGGACCACATGTAACCATCCGCCCTTGGTCGAGACTTCGAGTTAATCACCTTTAACAAAGTAATATAACTCGGAACAATTACCAAAATCGGAGTAAAACATATGAGTTATGCAAAAATAGGAGTAACGTTTTAAAATTCCCAAAATAGGGGTATTTTTTTCTAAATGGACAAGGATACCCCTGCCTGTTGCTGCCTGCTACTACAGTACCGCCGCCGGCAAGACTTCGCCGGACTGCTGCTGCCGGAGCTCCGGCGACCACCACCGGAAAGTTTTCCAGATTTTTTCTGGACTTTTCCCAGCATTTCTGCCGCCGCCGGAGTTCGCCGCCGCCGGAATATTCTGCCGCCACCGTCGGACTGCCCCTCTACCAATGGACTGCCTTGGTTGCTCAAGGGAACTAGGGGGCAATAATTAATTTGAATAGAGGTTTCTGCCGGTCGCCGGAGCTCCACCGCCGGCCGTCGCCGTCTGCCACCGCCACCACCAGACTGCCGCCGCTACCAACGCCCTGCTCCGCCACCGACGGACTGCCCTTGTTGCCCAAGGGAAATAGGGGGGGCAATAATTAATTACAATAGGGGTATTAGGGGCAAAAAAATTAAAGTTTACTCCTATTTGGGGAATATTAGAAGTTAACTCCTATTTAGGATCTCAAAAAAACTCCTATTTAGAGAAATGTGTTATGTTTTACTCCTCTTTCAAACAACCAAGAGCCATCCCTAATTGCAACTCCCTTGCCATGACGCCAAATTGAAGCCAGCATCTCTTGGAGCGCCGGGAAGTTAATTTTCCGGTCAGAAACCACCACACCTACCACCGGGAACCCCAACTGTTCTTCGCTTTCGTCCACATCCCCTGCTCCTTCCGCATCAAAATCAAGCTCATTCTCTGCCTCCCCTATAGCCATCTTTCTATAATTGTTAACAATATCGTCCACCTACAAATTCCTGGTTCGAAACCTTCCCTTCGCTCGTCCTCAGCCTACCACTTAGCCGCCTGATGACTGCCCTTTGAGCAAGCCGCTGGACGAAATCAGAGACAGGCCCCTCGAGCACTCGCCGCGACCAATTCAAGCCGCTGAACTCCCCTTCGTCTGCCTGATGTCTCGATATTGAAATCGGAGCACAGAAGAAACAAACCGATCTTCGATTGCAAGAATCGAAATCAGAAAATACAACCCTAGCGGCGCACGCCCTAGGGAGAGAGAAAGTTTTTTTCCCGATTTTGAGGAAATTTATTTTTAACTTGTTAAATATAAGAAGTTATTAATTAAAATCAAATTATATATTCTAAAACCTCATATTAAATATTCTAAAATTATATGACCAACAATTTTTATAAAAGAAAGATATATGGATTCACACATAAATATAGTGTCTAATTTGGTATATTTGAAACTTTAATGGCCAATATGAGATTCTCATGCAACCATAATGTCTAATTTGACTCTTATCCTTTGTAAATTAGATCTGAACAGTTTTATCCAAGGTTATGTCGATGACTATACTTAGTATAAAAATGTTTGGAGATTCAACCTGCAATTCTGCAAACCATTCAACAAACTCATATAGATGAGTAATGCTTAGAAGGCTGAACTTAAGATCGACCGTCATCAAGCTAGTAGGAGTGTATGGGATAACATGATTGGCTTCTAATCGAGCAAATAAAATCAAATGTGCTATAACTCCTTTAATGTCACTACGATTGGAAGTTTAGACTTCACTTTTTGTTTCAAGTTATTTTTACGGGGTTCGGATATACTATCGTATTTTTTTGTGTATTGATCTTTAAAATGTTTAGGAATTGTCTCCAAAAGGGTGTTTTCCCAAAACACGGGAAAAGTCAGCATGTAGTGCAAAAACACGGGAAAATTGTAGGGTTTCTAAGAAAACGAATTTCGGATGATGATGTTCCGAATAGATTTAGGGTTACAAGAGAGTAGGTTTAGCAGGCATTCGGAAAGCAACATTCCAAATTTATTAATTTATTTTATGTATTTTTTAAGTATTCGGAACATGGTGTTCCAAATAGAGGTTTTTTAATTTTTTGATGCACCATTCGGATGATGCACTTCCAAATCTAACTTTTTTAATTTTTATTTTATCTATAGAAATTAAATTTGATATGTATGAGTAACTATTTTAATTAGGGGTGGGAAAAACCGACCCTGGATTGCCCCGAATTATGATCCCGGGGCGGATTTTTTCTTTTTAACCGACCCAAATTTAAAAAATAAACCCCGGAACGAACCTAAAATTACGGGCTCATAGACGGACCTTAAAATATAACCCCGTCCGGACAAATAAAAATCCGAAACAACTAGCTATAATATAAAATTAATACTCCGTATAATATATGAATATAAATTTATAAATATTTCCTAATATATGATAATAGTCACGGTGCATAAAAAATGATTTAGCAACTTTTAGTAACTAAAAATATGTTCAATTTGTTTAGCGTAATGACCATTAAATATATTTACATCAACTCTAGTCACATTTATCTATATATTTTATTTCGTAATATTAATTTTCAGGAAACCTATATTATTTATTTACATGCATCTTAAATAAAATATTAAGATAATTATCTTCTTTGGATTTGAATTGTTGGTGATTTTGGAGACTTGTATTTGTGTTATTATTTTCGATTTGTATTTTTAATTAATTTTGTTTGAAAATAGGTGTTAAAGTATAAAAAAACAATGAGATATTTCAAGTTCGAGCTTTAAGTGATCCAACCCGAACCCGGACCAAACCCGGGCTACCAAAAATCCGACTCGGACCAAATATAATGGGCTTTGTTCCGGTCCCTAATTTTCATAACCCGAGACTTTCCGGGTAATTTCCGGGTTTAACAAAACCCCGAACCAGACTGGACCGTTCCCACCCCTAATTTTAATATGTACAATTTAAATCTGTATTATTGTAACCCGTACAATTTATTTGTTTTTGTAATATTTTTTTAACGCAACTCTTATAAAAAAAATTAAACGCATGTATCATTTTTAATTTTGTGTTGAATTTTGTTTTCAATGTTGCATTTTTAATTTTGTTTTTCTTCATTCGGAAATTACAATTAGCAATTGACCCCGCATTCCCAATATTCTTTTTTTTTTTTCATTTGGAAAATAGCATTCCAAATTGACCCACCTCCCATTTCCTCCCTTTTCCATTCGGAATACCCCATTCCAAATTGACCCCACCACCTCGCCCTAACTCATTTGGAAAATGGCTTTCCGAATCCCGTTTTTTTGTATCCTAATTGGAACTCCCGTGTTTTTGCTCAATGTGTTAGAAACTCCCCTGGTTTAGGAATTGTCTCTGCACAAAATAGTCAAAAGTTGCATTCCTCCCTAATGATTGCTTTGCATTTATTTCTAAAAGATAAAAACTGTTTGTGTACACCTCATGTCATTAATGCCCTATAAATATGGCTTCTCAAGACTTTTATTTGTATTTTTAATTTTTTAAAATAAGACAAAATATATTGTATTTTATTTGTATGAAATAACTTGTTCAAAGACAAAATATATTGTATTTATGAATAAACTATTCATAGATAAAAAAAATACGGAGCAGTTTTCATAAAAAAGAACTAAGAACTACTGTTATGGAACAATAAGAACTAAGTCATCAAGTATATTCAAAGTTTCAACAGCCATTTCCTCATAATATATCCTAGTGCAATAGTGCCCCAACAAAATATACGGAGTATTTGGTAAGAATTGAGCTTATGAGACAATAATGCATATTTATGATCAAGTCAGGCAATTGTTCCCATACTATCTTTATCCCATAATTCATTTTTTATAAGCTTGTCGAATTACTCGAATATCTCATTTAATAATTTTTGTGGAATCATGGTGGAATGAGAGATTGTTTTATGATTAACAAAATAATTAGCAACCAAAATATGAATGTAGATTATTTCAAAATTATTTTTGAAATTAGAAGTACGTAATTTGTGAGTGTGGGATCACAAATAACCCATTAAAATGAGATAACGATTTAAGTAATCTATAGGGTAGATATTATTGTAAAAAAATGTAAATAAGGATCATAAAAATCTGTTTATTTGTGAATGTTCGAACAATTTATGTGTTTTATAGTAGTAGAAATCTGCGTTTTATATTAAAACAAAACAATCGTTATTAAGAGAGTCTTAGTTATTTGGCTAAAAAATACCTTAGCTTACTGCAAAATTATTACTCCCTCCGATTCTTAATTAAGTTCATAGTTTAACCTCACACATATTAAGAAATAAATTTGACTTTACTGTGGAGTGCACTGTTTGAACATTGCTTGACACTGTTTAAACACTGTTTGACACTGTTTGACACTGTTTTGGTGTAAATCATTTGCCAAATAAGGAAAGATTTGAAGTAGGAACTGTGATATGGACCATCCCAAAAAGAAAATTAGGAACTTAATTACGGAACAGAGGGAGTATCTTCGTAAGGAAAATTCTTAGTGTACACAAGTTGTATACAAATTGTACACAAAACCCCTTAGTTGTCTGCGTACACAGGCAATTCGTTTAAAAAAGTGCAGGACTTGATGTTAAATTGTCTATGTACACAGACAATGTACACATTTTGTGTACATCTTATATACACCAAGAATGATCCATCTTCGTAATATGACAGTGCCCTTGTTGAAAATTATTTGCCGCCGTACAAGAACGAGCAGCAGCAATTGTTGAAAATTTTGACAAGGCTTCGGACCAATATTTTACTACGACTAAAGTCTTTCAAACAAAAGGTTAAAATTGACTTCCCCATTCTCCGGAAGATGTATACGAAGTACTACCTCAGTACCTCCATCCTGGCATGTGAAGAAAAATACTCTGTACAAGACAGTTTGTGCACCCAATTATACATGCCTCTCAAATTGTACAGATAATTTGACTGGCATTTTGTGAAGAAGTCAATATCTAGATTGACAAAACAAAAAATTTGTCTGTATCATAAACATTTAAAATTTCTCGTTTAAAATTATTTGTATCAGAGATATTTTAAGAAACATTCTCGTTTAAAATGTCTACAATACAGACAATTTTTTTGCCTATGTGAAAATCGATTTTCTTCATAAAAAGCCAGTCAAATTGTCTGTATCAATGACATTTTATGAAATAGTTGAAAATGTCTGTGATACAGACAAATTTTTGTTTTTGTCTGTATGGAAATTGGTTTTCTTCATAAAACGTCGATCAAATTATCTGTACAGTTTGACTGGTGTGTATAGTGGCGTATTAGCGTATACAATGTCGTGCACACGAAGCGGGACTGGTATTTCAATAACATTGGGACATTAGAAAGTGACACAGTTATTAAGAAAAATAAGTTTATGCAATTGATATTGAATTGATATAATAAAAATAAAGTAAAAATGATTTGAAACCAAACAAATTTTATCAAAGTTAGTAAGAGACAATCTTATATAGGGAATGTTTGCGATTGCTTCAACTTTAAATAAGCGTTTTTTAAAGTGATTTTAGAGAAAGTGCTTAAAACCAAAAGTTGAGTGTTTTAAAATAGAAGTGATTAAGGTGAAAAAGGTTAAAGTTAGAGTGTTTGATAAAAAAATAATCTTAAGTGGTATATTTTACGTAGTATTAAACTACAAAAATGCCCTTGAATGTAAAACATTTTTTACCATCTCTTTGTTGCCCAGCTTCAACACCTTTCAAAGTAGGGAGTATGGGGCGCCATCTCTTTGTTGACCAACTCTCCTACCACCCTGCAATTACAATTGCTTCCTTCAATCCAAGTGAAAAATTAGAAAGTCGTATGTGGCGCCATCTCTCATCTGGATTTCTACAATTGCTTCCACTTCTGAATTTTATTCCTGCAATTCTTTCCCCTGTCCATCGAATTTTGTTCTTCCAATTACTCCTGGCAATTTACTTGGAATTTCAATCTCATGTTCCCTCATCTCCATGCTTCTCATCATTTCTTCAAAGCTGAGTGATGATGATGAAGACTGTTCCTCTCGTAAACCCTCCTTATTTTCAGAAATGTCTGGACATTTTGCAGAAGTTGAAGCTATTTCATTGTTGAACATTTGATAAAGCCGGCTGACTAAGGTCTGAAAGGGGACATGGAACAGGACGAAAGTGTACTAGGAGACGAGGGTATCTTTGGTCCAAGGCCAATACACGCTCCATTATAACCCTCCTTGAAGTTTGAATTAATTACAAAAAAAAACAAGAAGCACCCAACTCCAGCTTCTAAAGTAGGAGCAGTTGTTTGCAAACATCAATTTCCGCTTTTTTTAAGTTGAAAGCTCATAAGCACTTATTTTAATCTAGGGCTGGGCACGGGCCGGGTCGGGGCGGATAATGCAAAATAAAATGGAACCGCCGGTTCCATTGTACAGTTCAGTCTGATCCGGGTATTGCAATTTTCAAAACAGGAACCGGACCTAACCCGGTCCGTTTGAAGCGGGTCGGTCCGGTCTGAGTTTTACGGTTTCTATTCTCATGTCTTAAAATTAGTAGAAACTCACGAAGTTCCAAAAATCAATAATCCATAATATAGGACATTAGCAAGTTTCAAAATAACATAGCCAAAATACATGGCCAAAATATGCAACATAGCCAAAATACATATTTTCTAACATTTGTATTTAATCATGTTGTCTAACATCACATATTAAGGTGATTGCTTTTTTTAAAAAATAAATTTTCAGTATTAGCCAAAGTTGACACATACATGATGGGTGGTAAGCACAATTTATATATTTTAAGAACAATATTATAAAAAAAATATAACAAAATCATTTTTAAGAAATAATTAAATTCCATAGAAAGGAATAACTCAATAACAATAAAAAGTAATAAGATATTTATGTAAAATTTAATTAATAATTTGAAAACATAAGGATGTTACTGTAACTCAATTTAAAATCCTACTTCTAGCAAAGGAAACAAAACTATTTCAGAACCGATATGATTATTACAAAACTATTAATAAATTAATATACAATATATAACGGGCCGGACCGGGTACCCGTTATTTTTTAATTTTGAAACCGGTCCGGATCTTTTAAAAAAATTACCCGACCCTACCCGGACCGTTTTATGGTGACAAAAATGGAAACAGCCCGTTTTGGACCCGAACCGCCTTTACCCGGACCGGATTGCGGTTCCAAGACCCGTTTGTCCACCCCCTATTTTAATCAATTGCAAACACTGCTTTAGACGAACCACAAAAAAAGATGGTGCAATCTATCGGCACGAAGGAAGTATATACACGCCTTAATCCTGAAATGGTTTGTCTTTTTGAGCACCGATGCTAATACCATATTATTCTAATTTCTAAACCATCATATTTTCTGTTTTGAAGAAATGATGTCCCTCCCTGCATATAAGCTGGGTTTATAAAAAAAAAATACGATAGTAAAGTTTATTAATTGTAGAAACGTTGTACTATTACACTGTGTGATATGGAGAATTTGTTTTTAATTAAAGGGAGCTATATGACACGGAAACTCTCGGGAAAGAGTACGTTTTCGTTTCGGAAACTCTACCGAAACTCTTTGAAAACTATCCAAACAAGTCTTTTTGCACAAAAATTGACATTTCTCGTTTCTCGTTTCTTCACGATTTTTGCGTTTCTGTGCAACATAGGAAGGGAGTGGTTAATATGGAGTATATAATAACACACTAAAGCGAGACTGTAAGGGCTTGTTTCGTTCAAGGAATGTCATATTAGAATGATGTGACATTAGATTGATGTGAATGTAATCAATGTATTCCCATTTAATTTGTATTTGGTTAAGATTAATGGAGTATGTCATTTATTTATTTGGTTGAAAATAACTAGTACTCCGTATTAATTAAACTATTTTAATGTTCAAATAGTATAGTAATATAAATATACCTATTATCATTTAAAAATCAATTTAAAAAATGTTCAATTGTCAACTGTGGACGCAAAAAATCAGATTTTATAAAAGTTGGATATATATTTTGTTTTTTACCATCAAAACGGTTTTTCATTAATATAGAGCAAACACGCAAGATAAAATCCAGGCAGCTATTACATATCCAATCATAAGCCCTAGGAATAAACTTAGAGTCAGCCACCCATACAAAGCGACCTGACTCGCTAGACACAAAACGGGCATGAAGAAGCCTAAAACGATCGAAATTGCAATACAACCTATCAAAAGTTCTGCAAAAATCAAAATACTCCAACCACACCTGCTCGAACGGAAATAAAAATAAGTACTACGAAAGGAAAAATAATACGAAAATAAAAATTTCCCCAAATTGCTTCCATGCATGGAGGTGGTTCTAGAGGAGGGCAAAGTGATGTAGTATGGTAGAAGAGAATTTCAACCCCCGAAATATTCGTTTGAAACTCTATTCTTCTTGTGCTCGCCAATTTGCTTCTTGAGATTTGCCATTGAAATCCATGTCCGAGGTGCAGAAGAAAACACTATCATGTTGTCTTGTGTTTCTTCGCCCATAAAAATCCAAGCCGCACCCCACCGCCCTTGCGCACTCACGTTCCAAAATTGCAAAGAGAAAAGTCGCACGAAGCTCTCGTTCCACGAAAAACCCAACCGCACGAACGAAACTCGATCGGCAGAAACAAAAAACCGTAACAAAGTGTAGGACGGCTGCTCCTCGAAAGAATCGATAGCGGAGAAGAAAACCCTAGCGGTGGAAATCCACCCTAGAGAGAGAATGTCTCAATCGATAACCCTGTGTCTTTTACTTTATAAGAACCTTGTAAAACCATTTTTTTTAACTTTTTCCTATATCTCATGACGTTATCTATTAAAAGTTGGATATATAAAGTAATAGATTAACAACAATTAAGTTGATTAAAAAATAGTGGACGAGAATATTTAACTGGGACAGATGTAGTACCAAAAGTCTATTGTCATGTGATGAAGAGAAAATATTGTGAAAATAATTTTGCGCACAGTTGAAGATGGAAGATAGGGCAGAGCATCGGGCGGATTAGGGTCAGGCGGGTTGGTAAACCGAGGACCCTTTTGGTTTTCGGATGTTTAATGTGGGTATCCGATCCTTAGATTTTTTATGTTAAAATATATCGGTTTTTTTTTAATCGGGTAAAGTTGGGTTCGGATCGGGTTTGGGGTTGAGTCGGTTTTTTTAACAAATACCATTAAAATGAAATGGATAAAAGATTACATAATTTACATATTCAAAGATTACTAAATTCTTCAAATATGAAGTATTCAATACTGCACCAAAATCATGAATTACAGTGTACAGTGTACATAGTTAAAAACATGACAATTTGGTTACAAAATAATGTCCAAAACAGTGTTACAACTAACATCTAACTTATTAAGTTAAAAAGTGTTAACATGTAACTTACTAACTTAGAAATTAGCATGTAACATCTAAAATATTACACACAAGTGCATAACATTGTCCCAAAAAATGAAAACCACAATAAAATATTACTACGTACAAAATTACAATCTCACATTTAAGTGTTAACAACTTAACATCCCAATTTCCAACTAGACAAAAATCAATACATTCTTACATCCAGATTCCCAGCTTCAAGCCTTCAACTCCTTCAAGTTCCACTGGTCCACACTTTCACTTCATTTTCAGTGCACAGATTCACGCATCAACTTGAATGCAAGTACACCAAATATACACAAGTATCAAATTCTACAAATGAACACAAGTCTTCATATAATTACAATTTACAAGGACCAATATGAGAGAAATCAAACAACAAGATGACTCAGAATGCTTATTATCATTCACAAGAGGTATAGGGGCATCTGCTACAATTTCAGTTACAACTTATATGTTATGAACTGAAAGAGCAATACCAACCTAAACGATATATTCAGTAGTGAGTAGAAGCTTCATCATAGCCAGTGCAAAATCATAGTTATTGTATACTTACTCAATGCATAGTAATGCATGTACTGATGTACACGGTACATATGTATATGAAATGTTAGCACAAACTCTTTTACCATGCAAACTGCCAAGGGACAAAGGGCCAAGGACAACGGGCAGCCTGTGCATACTTTTCCAGAATCACAATATCACACTCATTGCAATGGAACAACAGGAAGATTAGCACATAATATATACACATTAGGTTCACATGTAAATGTGTAATATATAGTTAATGAAATAAAATAAGGATCCGCATAGAAAATGTACACTTAATGGGACAATAGAACCAGTAACTCTAGTAGCAACATTTCCATCTGTTAGTTCTATAAAAAAAATAAAGAAAATTTTTAGAATTTTGAAGTTAACCCAATACATTTAAAACTAAGTAAACAAATATGACCACACGCAAGTATACCTTTTTCTAGCCTTTCAACTTCATCAATGTTTTCTTCAATTGAGATAGAGTGGTTAGCCATTCTCAACCAATCTTGTGCACAAATAAGGTCTTCCACAATTTTGGTACGTAATGAACTTCTAAAACAGTCCAACACCCTACCACTTGTACTGAATGTGGACTCAGAAGCTGCTGTGGAAATGGGAACACCAAGTACATCCCTAGCCATCTTAGAAAGTACATGAAATCTTTCACTATTTAACTTCCACCATCTTAAAATATCAAAGTCCTTATCTTCCTCAATTATTGACTCATCTAGATATATATCAAGTTCAGTTTTTGGGCTCCTAACTGACCACTCTCCAGTTTTTTTTAGCTCAGCCTTAAACCTTGAAATTGGCCTATTCTCAGCATTTTGACAGTCCATAGAAACTCTAGAATGTAAACTAGAAACAGAACTTCCACCAACACAGTCAGAGTAATTTGAAACATAATCGATAAATAACTCAGTCAGACTAGACTTCACTTTGACAAAGAACTCAACACCATTTTTGTCACCATATAAAGCATTCAGCTGATATGGCATATACTCAAACTTGTCCCTAGGGTCTAACACATTTTCATAGAAGATCAGGAAGTTCATTTTTTCAGGATCACCCCCCATACTTGTCTAATTAGGATTTCATAGTATTCCCCATTGCACTGACAAAAGCAGTTGAAAAGGCTACCATATCTTTTAAGACAAGGAACAAGTCAGATATTTCAGGAAAAAAAAAGGTATTGACAGTATAGAGTGAACCTGAGATCCTAACTGTCATCTCATAAATTTTTTTAAGAATGATCACAAAAGATTTAACT